CATCAGGGGGTAGGCGGCATCAGCCACTATGCACACCGGCATGTGCACATCCCCAACCGGAAAGTCGTGATGCGGGAAAAATGTTCCTGCCTGAAGCCTCCGGTAGAGGTACGAGTTCCTGAAGATGCGGGCATCATGTGCCTGCCCTGACCACCCAACACAAATGTCAGAAAACTGGCCACGATGGTCGACCAGGGCCTGGAGGACCATAGAAGAGTAGCCCTTTCTGTTAATGAATTGGGCTGCTCGATGGGGCGGTGCACAGATTGGAATGTGTGTCCCATCGAGCGCTCCTCCACAATTCGGGAAGCCAAGGGCAGCAAAGCCGGCCATGACGCTGTCCAGATCTGCTAGACAGACGAGCCTGTTGAGCAGCTCAGAATTGATGGCCCTCACCACCTGCAGAAAGAGACAGACAACAAAATTTTAGAAGGGGTGCCTTATCTCTTAGGAGGAGAACCCACCACCCACCTTCCCTCTCAAACACCCCGAGAATCCCCTCCTCAGAACTCCCCCCTCCCCGGGCAGCTCACGGTGAGTGGAGGAGCTCCCTCCCATTCCCACTCCTACTCCACTTTGCCCTTTCCTGACAGTCTCCCTTCCCCTCCCCCCCCAAACTGTGACTGTCACCTGACAATGACTTACCTCCATCAGTATGGACCCAACAGTAGACCTGCCCACTCCAAATTGGTGTCCCACAGAGCGGTAGCTGTCGGGGGTGGCCAGCTTCCAGAGGGCAATGGCGACCCTCTTTTCCAGGGGGATGGTGGGCCGCAGATGGGTGTCCTGCCGTTGCAGAGCCGGGGCTAGTCAGGTACACAGCTCCTGGAAAGTGGCCTTCCGCATCCGGAAGTTGCGGAGCCACCCTGGGTCATCACAAAGCTCCATAAAGAGCCTGTCTAACCAGTCAGAGCTGGTGTCAAGACTCCAAAAACGCCTCTCCACAAAGAAGTTTGGAGGCAAGGGCAGTGAGGCTGCATGACAGACATACCCTTCATACCTCTGGTCTGGGTCCAGATGGGGAAGTAGCCTCATGACTGTGTCATGCAGATGCAGCAACAGCGCTGGCTCCATGCCAAAAAAAGGGGTCTAAAACAGGAAAACCTCCAAACAAAAAACCTACTGGGGTGTCCCAGGAAGCTGGGAACTCTCCAAACAGGCACTGCAATACCTTGCTTACCTCCTAGAGGGACAGCAAAGGCAGCTGCAGGAGCAGAGCAACGGGTGTTCAGGGACATCCCTTTAACCATGCATCTCTGCAAAGGGCAGGCAGCAGGACCCAGAAGGAATGCTGCCCCCATGCCCTGGCAGAAGCGGTTCCGGGTGGCTTTTTCTTTAGAAAGAGCATCCAGCAGTCAGGATGCTCTTTTTCGAAAAAGCGGATCGATTTTCCGATCCGCGTATTGTATTCTAGACGCTCTTTTTCGAAAGACACTTTTTTGAAAGTTTCTTTTGAAAAAGCGTCTTTCGAAAGAGGCTTGCAGTCTAGACGTACCCCAACTCTTTGGATTTGACCATATGTCAGGCACGGAGCTCTTTCATATTTCCTCATGTCCTGGTCCATTTAATGTGGAATCACAGGACCCAGTGTACAGTGAGTTTATGCATCTCTGACCAGCGTACCTGCCCCTTAGTTTTATAGGACCAACAGATATAGTACCACATTAAACTTGCAAACATGTACTTGCAAATAAGTATCTATTTAGCTAAGTGGCTAGCTGAAAACATGGCTCTGGAATATAGAAAGATAACTAACATTAGTGTTATTGCTATTTCTTATCAAACTAGAGACCTCCACATTCAGCAAAGGTTAATTTTGACCTCTCTGTGATGTAGTGTTATGTCTTTTTTTTTTTTTTCATTGCAGGTCTACCAAAAGCTGCAGTTATCACTCATCTGCAGGTTCTGAAAGGAGCTGCAGGGTTATGGGCATTTGGTGCTACTGCCAATGACATTATTTATATAACTCTCCCTCTTTACCACAGTTCAGCTTCTCTCCTTGGCATTGGTGGATGTATTGTACTGGGTAAGCGCACTTCATTTTTATATCATTGTTGACTAAAGAATGAGTTAGTTTAGAACTGAGTTAATACACAGTGCAGAATCATTGCTATCAGTGGAGCTACTTAAACTTGTCTTACTATATCTGCCTTCTAAGTCAAAAAACAAATGATTCTGGAAATATTTTTTCTAGTTTTGTGATTCCTTTACCTTTTTTTCCCTAAAAAACTGTAGTATGGTCCATATTATTCACTTTTCTTTTAGGAAATTAGGTAAAATTCTGTTTATCCACTTATTTTCTTTTGGTATTAGGGTAACAAGGTAGCTGTCCCTTAAATGAAATTGGGCTCTGTATCACTGTTCCAATCCAGGTTTGCCTGAATTTTGTGTTGTGAGGAGGGTGGGGCTGCTCCTAGGAGTTATAAATGAGGCTAGGTCTAGACTATGGGACTTTATCGGAAAAAGTTAGGCAAACTGCGCTCCACACACAATTTTTACGTTTTTTTTTTAATCCCACCTTAATACTGAAATTCCATTGTAATGGGCAATGCCTATGAATTTAGACCCATCAGTGAAACAAATGAGATTGACTTGTGTATTAAAATCAAAGTTCTGAAACCTTTACATGTTTCTGTAGTACATGTAGCAGGATTCTTGACAAGTTCACGCAACCAGTGTTTCCTTTTTATTCCCTTAATAAGGTGCAACTATTGTCTTAAGAAAGAAATTCTCAGCTAGTCAGTTCTGGAGTGACTGCAAAAAGTACAATGTGACTGTTATCCAGCACATTGGAGAAATTTGTCGTTACCTTTGCAACCAACCTGTGGTAAGTGGAATTAAAATTATGGTTATCCTAGCATTTGGTTATTCACTAATCTTTATCTTCATGCTTACTATTGTAGCTGTATTTATATTAAAAGGGAAATGTGAACAATAATTTAAAAGAAGAAAAAATTCTCTCCTCTTCCTCCTCCTCCTCCTCCTTCTCTCTCCCCCTCCCCTCTCCCCCCACACCCACCTTGCCTTTCTGTGCAAGGTTTCTGATGTATCTGTGACTGCCTGTAGATTGGTGCTAGGAAAACTGAACTGGCACCAAGGAATTGATACATCTTTAAACATGTAAGGGGAAAAGAAAATGTTCATGCTAAAAGTTTAGCAAAGAGTGAGTCTAGACTATCTACCTTAGCATTAATGCATTTTCAAAATTGTTTTGGGGACCAAATTAGACACTCTCACATTTTGTAGGCCTAACTTTGGCCCTACTAACTTTATTTTGGCTTGTAGACTATTTGTACACACAAGCCATCCTTTACTCTGTTCTTGAAGGTTTTAAAGGAGTCGCTACAGTTCAGAGACTCAAGAGAAAATGTTTTTAAATTCCTAATTAATTGGCTTACCCATCAGACTGATCTGCACTATTAAGGCTCAAAAAGGTGTCTACCCCTTCTAGGGGAGCACAGGGAGGGAAGAGGGAGTGTCTCTTTCAACCTGTCCTAATGCTGCAGTTGACCTTAGTGGGAGTTCTGTGACTATAGGGTCCCATTAGGAGAGTCTCATCATTGCACTAACCTCCTCAAAGGGGCAGAACCATGAATTCGCTAGCAGAGTGAACCCGCTACTTCTAGATCTGGAAGGCATCATGTCTGAGTTTCCTTTGAGGTAGAGTAGTGACAATCCACAGTCCAGTCCTCTATCTTTAGCACATTGGTCACTATACAAAACTTCTTGCCTTGTAGAAACTGATAAACGTAGCATAGTTAAGTCCTCCGTTTTGTTTCAGCTATAAGGAGATATTATGTTAAAAAAGTGAAATATACTTGACATGTTCATTTATACTATCCATTAGAGATATTAGGTGTGCACTCTGTTGTATACGTAACTCCTATTAGTTGTCATGAGATATCTGTAGGTTGAAAGCCAAAATTGCTTTTTAGCTGGAAGCTGCATTCGGTGGTTGTATTAAATCATGCATGTCTTAAAAGAAGATTTCTGATTTTTCCTTAAAAAGAGCAAAATAAGGAAGACATAAATAATTAAAACAAAAATGCATATTCAAACCAGGGAGTTTGACTGACTTGTACACAAGTGCATGTGTACTCCTGAAAATATGGGCTTGAGTCTTTAATTCAGTTTGTAAAAGCAATTTGGGCAGTAACTGAAATTTTTGCTACATAGGGCGGCTGGACCAAATTCCATTCCGGGTTAAGTGGTCAATGTTTAGTGAGATTGCACTGGTAGTAGAACAGCTCACAATCTAACACTTTACGTTAAAGAGCAGAGCCTATGTTTTAGCTTTTTATAAAATTGTATCTAGCATATGATACAGTACAGCATTCTGTAAATGCACATATTATTCTAGCTTCATTATTTGATGTATGAATAATAAATGTGGAGATGGATTCTCCCTTGTACTTATACAATGCGATCAAAACACAACAGTGTTTGTTTAAAAATCTATTCACTTACACCTGTGGAAAGGAGATGTTAGGGGGCATGGCAATGGAGACTCTGACACACAAGGCTCCTCTCCTGTATTCAGAATAGTTTATATGAATTCTTCAGTGTAGATCTCTACTACATCTGGGAGCAAACCTCCCAGCCTAGGCCTATGGACTAAAATCGATATGTAAATGATGCTATGATGTGACTTGGGTTGCAGCTTGGGCTCTCAAGTCCCATCTCCTAGGCATGAGAGTCTGAGCTCTAATCCAAATTGGAATGGGAAGTACGAGTCCTGCCAACTCAAGTCTGTGGACTTGGATTGGGAGGCTCACTCAAATGCAGTGAAGATGGTGGATTCTTGTAGTTGTGGAGACCAGGTACCTACATTGTGGTACAAAATTATAGACTGTCTGGGCCCTCCTGGACATAACTACATGGCAGACAGCTTCCCCGGACAAGGTGTGGGGGGACCCAGCTGCCTGAGAAGAGGTAGGGCCTTAGGCAGAAGGGGTCGGGCTGGGCAACCAACCCTCAGTACCGCCCAGACTATTTAATACAGATTGTACCTTCCTCATCCTGCACCCTCAGGACCTCAGTGGCCCTGGAGCAGGGGAGGTCAATCTGGCAGGAGCTCTACTTTTTCCCTGGCCACCCGGGGGCTCTGCTTTTCTCCAGGCAGCTCCACTGCCACCAGGGCTCTTTTCTCCCCACAGTGCAGGAGAAGGGGAGAACTCTACTTCCGCCTGTGGCTTCACTGCAGCTCAAGGCTCCCCTCTCCTCACAGTGGCCAGGAACTCCATTGCAATCCAGAGCCCCACTCTCCCCATAGTAGTTTTGCTGTTGCATGAGGCGCTGTGCTCCTGCTGGTGGCTTTGCTTTCTTCCCCATGGCTCTGCTGCTTCCTGGGGCTCAGCTACTGCCCAGCATCTCTGCGCTCCCCCCAGCACCCTACTGACACCGGGGGCTTCATGCTGCACTGAGCAGTTTTGCTGCTGCCCCAGTGGGCTCCATCAAGCAGCCCCACTGCTGCCGTGGAGCTCCACGTTCCACCAAACGGCTCTGCTGCCACTTGGGGGCTCTGTGCTCCTCTCAGTGGCTCTGCGCTCTCCTCCCCAGCACTTCTGCTATGACCTGAGGGGCTCCGCACTCCCCTCCGGCAGCTGTGCTTCTACCCTCCCCACGGTGACAGAGTGCTCTGCTTCCTGGACACCGGGGTCTCTGAGTTCCTCCCAGTATCTTTCCTGCCCCTGGTGCTCCCTCTCAGCCCTCTAATTTGGCAACGCTCCTGGACCTAGCCCAAACTTCTCCTCGTGAGCACTCACACAAATGATGTGGGACCAGGGATGTTGCCAGACAAGGAAAGCTCGGATGAGGAAGTTTCAACCTGTAGTAACTTCTCCAAACTAACATGAAAAACTCCTTTCTAGTCAAGTATCAGAGGTGTTAGTCTGAATCTGCAAAAGCGGTGAGGAGTCCTGTGGCACCTTATAGACTAACTGAAGTGTTGGAGCATAAGATTTCGTGGGCAAAGACCCACTTCATCAGATGATTATGCTCCAAAACTTCAGTTAGTCTATAAGGTGCCACAGGACTCCTCACCTCCTTTCTTGTCAATCATCTGTCAGTGTATTTCAAAATCATCAGCAATGACTTCAACAGTGGTTCTGTTAATAGAAGAATATAAGCCAAGATTATTTTTCAGCACTACTAACAAGTTACTTTTAGAGCCTAGTCCAATGTCCACTGAGAAGTAAATGGAAAGACACTCATTAACTTCAATGGGCATTGGATCACCTGCTTTAGTTTTCACTTAGCTTTTCTTCAGTCTTGGCAAAGGCTATAGTAACTCAAAATAGTGACCTTTGGAGTATAATGGAATCTCAGAATCGTCTAGGAGAGTTGGCCTATATACTGAAGCTGTTTCATGTTAGAAAGTCTTCTAATGAAGACATTTAAATCACAACAGTCAGTCTGAAGATGTGTTTACACTGTGTTTGGAAACTCATGGTACCAAGTCTCAGAGCCTGGGTGTATGGATTCAGGCTTGTACTTTGGTACTAAAAACAGCTGTGAAGTCATTCAGGCTTGGGGTGTGAAGACCAGGGAGGGGACTAGCCTTCAGAGCCCAAGCTCTGGCCTGAGCCAAAATGTCAACAAGGGACAAACAAACAACAGTGTATACCCTGCCTCTGAAATAGGAGTAAAAACCTGTTAATCCAGGCAGAGAGATTCAAGTGAGTGAAACTGTTTACTATTTCAGTTTCACTAACAAGGACTTTATTTTTTTTAAAAGTAGCAACAACAGGAATTGAGCTTGTGCTGGTATCATAGGGTATGTCTACACTACCACCCTAGTTCGAACTAGGGTGGTTAATGTAAGCAACCGAAGTTGCAAATGAAGCCTGGGATTTGAATTTCCTGGGCTTCATTTGCATCTTGCCGGGCGCCGCTATTTTTAAATCCCCGCTAGTTCGGACTCCGTGCCCGCGGCTATACGTGGCACGGAGTAGGTAGTTCGGATTAGGCTTCCACGAGGAGTAATGGTAGTTCGGAATAGGAAGCCTAATCCGAACTACCTACTCCGTGCCGTGTGTAGCCGCGGGCACGGAGTCCGAACTAGCGGGGATTTAAAAATGGCGGCGCCCGGCAAGATGCAAATGAAGCCTGGGAAATTCAAATCCCGGGCTTCATTTACAACTTTGGTTGCCTACATTAACCACCTTAGTTCGAACTAGGGTGGTAGTGTAGACATACACATATGGACTAAAGAGTCAAGGTGGTGATTGCTGTACATGAAAGACATCCTAAGTAATTCACATTAACATCTATCATATCTGCGGGTATGTCTACACTATAGAGTTTTTCTGAAAAAAACTTCAATTACGTCCACACTGCAGTCGCATTCTTTCGAAAGAAAATCGAAAGAACAGAAGGGTTTTTCTGGCATTGGTAATCCTCTTTCTACAAGGAAGAAGCCTTTTTTGTGAAAGAGCTCTTTCGGAAAAAAAGGCGTGTAAGGACGGGGAAGGAGGAGTTCTTTCAGAAGAAGAGTAAAGAAGAAAAAGCACAGGTACCCTGGTGGCCACTCCATCCATAGTAATCATAGTTTAAATGTGCGATAGTGTGGACGCTATCTTTCAAAAAAGCAGATTACTTTTTCAATGCACATTGGCGGTGTGGACGCACTCTTTTGGAAGAAGTTTCTTTGGAAGATCTCTTCTGAAAAGCTTCTTCCGAAAGAAGCCTGCAATCTAGATGTAACCTGCTAGTGTAGGAGCTTCACGGGGTAGCCGAATTAGTCTGTAACAGAAAGAAACAACAAATGGTCTGGTAGCACTTTATAGACTAATGAAACATGTAGATGGTATCATGAGCTTTTGTAGG